GTGATGAGGATTTCTACAAGCGAATCCACTGGTAGCAGTTTCTTTGAGCGGTTTCGAAGAAGAAAAGGTGCTGTTGTGAGTTATAAAGTATGGGGAAGGAGAAAATACGGGGAGTGAGTTGTAGGAGCGATCGCAAAACAAAACAACCAGGCTGTTTTGAAACTTCGGGAGAGGGAATATTTCAGTATGGGCTACATTTTCCGCTGGTCGAAATCGAAAAACAGTTTCGAAGTACCCACAGGGTTTCAAGAGGCTCTTTTGAAAATATCGAATTGTTGCATTCCATTTACCGGATTTTTACCTACACAGCTAAAGTGGCCGTCAGCTTCGAATTCAAACGACGCTGTTTGAAATAGTGGGAATTGCTCGGAAGAAACTTCTTACTTGATTCTACAACAACAGTGTCTGGAAACTTCGCTCCGTATTATTCTCTCTCGACTATCGTCTTTATTGCACAGAATGGAGATCGTGTTGACATACTTGTTGCGACGAACAACAGAGGAACGACACAGAGTTTTTATCAGTGAAGATTAAACAAGTATCGAGAAGTGTGTTATATAGACAGAAAGCTAGACTCCTGCGGGACAGCCCCGAATTCCGTCTGTCTCGTTCCGCGGGACAGACGGGCTCGGGACAAAAATAACTTTAGGCTTGGGCTCACGGACTAAAGGCAAGAAAAAAATTCACGGGCTTGAGCTTACGGGGTCGGGACAAACCATTCTACATGCACGTGTTCTTCTGTCGATGCGTTTATTGAGTGACTGCTGTTACACTAGTGCGCACCATCCACTCTATAACCCTATGCATTAGATTAGTGCTCCATCATATGAATTTTTGAAACGGCAAGCTCAGACTTTTTGCAGATTCGACTTGCACTCGACAGGCACACGATAATAGAACTATTCGATCTGGCTCGTTTTTACACTGAATTATGCCCTCGAGTGTTCTTTTTCTGAAACTGGAAACCATTCAACCCCTTTTCGTTCTTGAGTTATTCAAAACATGTCTCGGTGCATCCTTTTTTGAAATGGATAGTAGTGAGTGGATGTAAAATATTTTTGTAAAGAGGAACTTCTAAGTTTAGAGTCAAACAACTTAAGCTTAAATTCTTTCAGGCTAACTTTGCAAAAATAACTTTGAAAGTTTAAGCACCTCTTGTACAATTATAATTTATCCAAACAGGAAAAGATTTTCAGAAGCTTACGGAACAAACGCGACGGGGCAAAAATGCCCGTAAAATTTTTCACGGGACAGACGGGTTCGGGACAACATTATTTGCTCACGGGTATGGGCTTAGGAGATGGGGCAGAATTTCTTGTGTTCGGGATCGGGCTCACGGGCTCGGGGCAACACAAAAGTTTGCCCCGCAGAAGTCTACAGAAAGCTTTCAATGAACTCAGTCGTCAAAATCTTTATTTATTTGGATTTAGCAGAAGAGGGAACCCATTCCATACATAGTTAAATTTGGACTTTGTGCATAAAAATTGAAATCAATCTGCACATTCTTTTGACTTAGAAAACGCGTAAGCCATTATTCTCTCAATTTTCTTACACATTGCATATGAGTTTCAAGGTTGTTATGCAATACTGTGAGTGACTTCCAACGGTGTGTTATGACCTATATCAACAACAAAGATGAGATAACAGTCGCGTTATTTTTTATCTTTTGCAGTGAATAAACGAAGGACAATGAACAGAATCTTTCCTTTTTATGTTATCACGTGCAAGTGTAAAAGAGAATGTATTTAGTGATGGAGTAACAGCTGCCAGTCGAGTCACAAATTCTATAGAATCGCTATCGTTCTGTCGCTGTCGGGATGCAATGGCACAGAAAAAACAGCCACACGAAAGCGAAAGGTAACACGTGATGGTACATTCATACATGACACAACAACAAAGAAAATCAGACAATTATTCTAGCACAATGGAAGACGCGAAGAACATTGATAAGTTTACACCGTCACCGAACAACATTGGAGAATTCGAGAATTTCAAGTTGATTTGGCTTGATAAAATTTTCTACTATAGTAACAAGGTCGAGTAATCTGGCTTCGACAAATTACATCTTACCTCAAAACCTTTTTTGATATCACTAAATGCTTCAATTATGTATTAAATGCCGAAGAAGTTGATTATATTTCTCTCATTATTTCGATCGATTCATTCGGTGATGCCGATATTCTCACTAGAGCACGTGTGTTCATGCAAATCACTCATCTTTACGTCATTGCATCATCATATTTATCAGATAATGACAGCTATCCGAAAAATCTTCGTGCTGTCTCTACAGACCAGCAAGATTTACTAATTAAGCTGATCGACGATGTTCGGTATTGTACTCAGAATACGATCAAATTCAACATATTCACTTCAACAGAAGGTGGCAAATCGAGCACAGATCTTACGAAGCAGTCGACAAAATTTATGTGGTTCCAGTACATGTTGGATATTCTTTTCAACATTCCGGAGTCGAACGAAGCGAAACAAGAATTGATCGAATTTTGTCATGCTACCCAAACGATGTCATGCTACACGATCATGCTACACAAATAATCAGCTCGATCAAGAGAAGATTACCGATTTTGAACTTAACTATCGATCGGAAGGAGCAATCAAATGGTATACAAGAGATTCATTCCTCTTTCGTCTGGTAAACAAAGTACTTCGAGCTGAACATATTGATTATATGTGTAAATTGCGGTACATATTGGCTGATCTTCACATTCAATCAATCGAACTTCAATGGGACTACCTTCAAGATTTGATAGATTTGGAGGTCGTTGCGTACATACTAACAGTCTATCGAGGTCAATTTATGTCCACTCGTGAGCTCGATCAGGTGAAACGAAGTATAGCCGCTTACATATCGATGAAAACTTTTTTATCAACATCGACCGATCGAGAAGTTTCGTTGTTGTTCTCGGAAGAGGGTGCTCAGAGACCTCAACTTGAATCAATTCTCTTTGAGATTGACATTCAAACTGACATATGTTTCTCGCCATATGCTGATATTAGGAAACATAGTTGAAACAAAGATGAAGAGGAAATTCTTCTTGCATTAGGTACCATTTTTCGTATCGATTTTATTGCGCCAAACGGCAACGTTTGGATTGTAAAGTTAACTCTTGGCAAGCAATGTCCAGCTGAAATCAAACGTGTTCGCGACTTTCTACCACATTTACAAGGTGGTAATCATCAAAGCGTTGAAGATTTTGCTCAATGCTTATTTCATATGGGAGAATCAAATCGAGCGGCTCAAATTTGTGAACGTATGATTACAGCGAAACCATCGATCGGTGATCTTGATACTGCCATTCTACGCAATAACCTTGCTGCATGCAAAATGATTGGAGGCGATAAGGGTTTTAATGGTATGCTTCAATGCTATCAAGTTTGTGTCAAACTCATTCCGCGACACTTACTACCTACATTGGCGTCCATTTTGATCAATGCTGCCAATTTACTCATGTCTCGTTACTACTACAAACGTGCTGAACAATTACTGTATAAAACTATATCGATGATTGACAGAGAACTCGATGCAACCCGTGATGATGGAATAAATCAAATCAAAATGATCTCTCTTGCTGATGTTCACATGACTCTGGGCGTTATTCATGCCAATCAAGATCAAACCGAAGAAGCATTGAAGTACTTTCAATCAGTTCTAAGAATTTTTCAAGGACATTTACCATCGGGTAATGGCCGATTCGGTTCGGTTTACTTGAATATGGCTAAAATGTACTTCAAGGATGGGAAATATTATGTTGCTATAGAATATGGCAAGAAAGCTCTTTCGATTTATTTGGAATGTTTGCCGCCTGGTCATCCAACAATAGCCGATTACTACGAATGTTTGGGTACTATCTATCGGTACAATGGTGAGACCGCTGAAGCCTGGAAAGCAATGGATATTGCCGTAGAGCAGCGATTAAATGCAGAACCTGTAGATCAAATCCAACTCGGTCAGTTATATTTCAGTCTTGGTTTTTGGCCAAGACAAATGATGATACAGAGGCATCTAATTACTATCTTAAAGCCGAAGAACTGTGGCGTCAGCGTTTGCCGGAAAGCGATATTCGACTTGGTAAACTACAAGCAGCTATCGGACATGTCTATGGTTACATCAAAGGTGATTTCGTAGCTGCAGGTCCCTATCTGGAAAAAGCCTTGCAAATTGAATTGAACCGTTCGAAAACAATTTCTCAAGTCGGAAGCATTTTTCTCGGCCATATATACAACGCCCTACGGAAAAACTTTTACAATCGCGGAAAATACACAGAAGCTTTAGCGTGCTACGAAAAATCGTCCTCCATTTACGAACATTATCTACCGCCCACTGGTTCGATCATTTTTCCTTTCTCGGCCTAAGTCAACGAGAATTGGGAAACTATATCCTGACATTGACATACCATCAGAAAGCCCTCGATATTCTTCTTCTTCAAGAGACTTCAGCCCTGAACCAGGAATCCATCGGTGATGCCTATGGAAATATCGCTGCTGTACACTTTTTAAATGGATCATACCGAGATTAGCTATTTTGAAAAAGAAATAAGCACAAAATTAGAAATAATGGCATGTAATTCGCCAGCTTTTATCACCATGTATATATGTATGTATCGGTGCTCAACTACGATAGATCGGCGAAGAACTTTGAAAATGCTCTAGCCATTTTTCAAAAACATGAGAGTCTTAATAATCCCGCATTAGCCATACTTGATGCGAATATTGGCTTATGTTACTACCGGCTGGATGAATGGGATAAAGCAGAAGATTCTCCAGCGAAGTCTTACTACACTAAGATGTTTTTATGATAAGGGTAACTATTTCAATTTTGCTTTCACCTATAAAGCCCTTGCTCTTGTCAAATGCACTCAAGATTCATTCGAGGAAGCCGAACGTCTTTGTCAAAAGGCACTCGATCTACGTTTGACCGAGCTACCTCCTGACAATATCGATGTTAGACTGTCGTTCGACACTTCTGGAATCATATACACCGCACAAAAGAAGTATGATGGAGCTCTAATCTATTTTCACAAAAGTGAGAAGATTGTTCAACATCAACAAAGAGTATCCACTATTGGTTCAAATTTTTCGAGCAACAGGATCTGTCTTCTACAATCAAGCAGTGACAGCAAAGCTCTGGAGTATTATATAAAAGCAATCGAATTAGCTCTCAAAATATACGCGACAAATCAGAAAGTGATCGATGCATTGAATTATGGAGTGGCCAGAGTGAATCATTTTTTAAGACATAATTGATATTCTTTCGGCCTTTTCGTATTTGTTATAAAAAGAGGATCTTTTCCGTTTATAATAAACTTAACACATTCAAGGCGATGGCACCCACCCGTGGGTCCCGCTATATTGTAACAAGAAACTTATGAGGGAACCTTTCGAGGTGATTAAACGCTTTTTGCTCGGAATCTAGTGGGTTATAGGTTATCGACCATGCTGATTACGAATATGATCCGGGGTTG